ACCACGACGTTTTATTGAGATTGATGAAAAGACAACTGAGTAATGAATAAAAAACGATCTTTCATACCCTGTATCTCGAAAACGGAGCAAGTGAGGACACATGTTCATATGAACTTCATTTCCTAAAATATCACAAGGCATAACTCCTTGAATTTTTCCAATGTTATGTAGATACACCCCACCCCGTATACCTACAGGGTGTCCTGAAAACGGTACGAAACTCGAGAGGGTGATTCGTTGAGTTGTTTCAATAAAAAAAGTTTCTATGAACAAATCATGTCCGGAGTTGGTTCGTTCCTGAGATATGTACAGGGCGTTGAAGTTTCAAGAAACGGCATTCATAAAATTTCATGAATATATCCTTTCTGTACAAACAACGCACTCTGAACACTAGTGCTGAAAGTGATTTATTTTCATGAGGAAATACATATAGAATCATAATAATTTAAAATGGAGTGTTCATGAAATTGAGCGTACAATTAGTGGAACTACAATTATAATAAGAAACTCCATAGCTAGTCTCATTGCTAGATGTAACAGAATTTATTTTGGTGGAGCTTGTACCAGCACAGGGAGCAAAGTTATCCGTCGAAGTTTTTGATAAAATTCGATCCGTGATGTTCTGTTTATTCTTTCGTAGAAAATAGTTTGAGTATGATATACCTGCTGAAAGTGATTTCATTTGGTTAAAAGGGATGGAACACTGCCTTCGGTGTCGTGTCCCAAACTTCCCTTCTCACAAAATAAAACATCACTTCTAGCACTTATTAATATATCATAGTAACTATTTTTTGTTTCTTTCATTTTGTTTCAGATTGTATAACTGACAATCAAACTATTTGATATCCTGTGTTCTCTTCGTATCTAGTTTCTTCTTGAAAAAACTTCTCTTCCATTTGTTTCAAACTTTGCTGCTGTTATTTCGAGTGAGTATGCTTTTTTCAAATTTCAACATCCTGGTACATATGTTCATTGGATCTCGTTCTCAAAACTAACTAACGAATCACTCTCTGTAGTTTCGTACCGTAATTAGGAAACACCCAGTATAGCTCAAAGTAGAACGTAGTATTTACTGAACTATATGAGATTTTTATATTTCAACTTTATTGTCCTTAATCGAGCAGAAATTCAAAAAAATCATTTATTTCTGAATGATTAACAATTTTTTTTTCATCTCTTGGACCGCACGAAAAAAAATTCCTATAATGATCGTGGAACATCGTGCGTAGCTAGGAAAGATACGGAGAGGATTTTTAGGCTAGTTCAACACCATTTCTAATATTATGTAAGCTAAGCTCATTACTACTTCAGAACTATATTTTTTGAAGTTTGTAGAACGAATTTTGTTTGCAACTCGTACGTGAAGTACTCTGGTCATCTCGAAATCAGTTCTAGATCGCCAAAATTAGAGATGGGATGTAATTTCTTTGTACCCCGAGAGCGAGATATTATCTTATGAAATCCTAACAGTGGCGTAGTTAATTTTATTTATTGTTCTTATCCATCATTTGGTTGCCCCCTTCACAAGCAACCCTCAGAAGTCTTCAAGAGCCTTGTGCGAGCAAGAAATGACGGGGTCTTACCTTTTAACGTGTGATCCCAAAAACTTTCTTAGGCCATCAGAAAATTTTCTGCGGTCGTTTTGGGAATCGAACCCACCTACTGGCAATCCAACCAGGAAAGATTATTGACGCTTCAACCACGAGGCTACGCTGGCCACCACCAATCAATATTAGGTCGAGATGAATAATATTTCCATGAGATTGATATTGGATTTTGAAGCTTTTACAAACTCTCGAAATGTCTTCGCATCTTTGTGCGATTCAAATAACTGTCAATCATCAGAATTTGAATCTGATGATTATGACAATCCAAGGCAATCTATAGTCATACCAATATTCACCCTAAGGAATTTCCTTGATGATCTAGTTCGAAAATGGAACCGATTCAGATCTTTTCAGTAGACATTCTGCATAGCAAAAATATGAAGCTGATCAGTCTTAAAGTAATCAGAAGAAACCTTCCCTATTTGATAATGTTCAGTAGGTATGTACGAGAAACTCTGGCTGTATATGTGATTTCATTGTTGTTGTTTTGGTATATCAGATTGCATAAAATAAAGGTACGTTTCCACCATCTAACGACTCTGTGTTTTGATTATTTTTGATCGAATTACATGCGCTTACTCACACAAAACCATTCATCAAAAGTTATCAGCAATTTATCCAGTGAACTGGATATGCCATTACTTCGCGTATAATTTGAAGCTTCTATCGATGGAAAATATTTTTTTGAAGGATGAATAACGTTGGCCTCACCAGTCACCATAATAATGGAAAAATTACGACATCATCTCTGAACGATATCTGGACTTCTGTCAATCATGCAGTTTAATGAATATAGGAAAAAAGCTATGACCATGGAAAAACGTCATCTCAGAATTGATGCTGTATTTGTTCACATATCATTCGTTTTGATGGAACTCCATTGTGAGGTGTATTGTGACACTTCTAGTGGAAATGATTATGCATTGTCATTTCCGTGGTCAATTCGCGATATAGAACATAACGCGTCGCTCCACCTGACAACAAAAACTTGAACACTTCAGAGAGGTTTGTTTTGATGATATGACCAATCACCACTAATAGAGACAAATGTGAACCAATGAAAACGAAGTGAACGTGCCGCTTATTTTTTATCGCGAATAGTGACGCAAAAGTAGTTCTTGGACCTTCCACAGGAGAATAACTATAGACTGAAATGTTCAAATTCTTGAATGATATCCTGAGGTCATCAGGGAATAAGATTACAGTGTCTACTCTGCAGTTAATACGGTCGCGTATTTTTTGTATTCAGTTTATGGTTGTAGGTTATGGCCAATCGATTCTCAAAATTTCCTAAGGCACCTTATACCATTCATTTGATTCAAATCGCACTATTATGGAGTTGACGTTCAACTAATTTGGCTAGAAGTTCATTGCTTATCTGAAACTGAAATGTCACCTTTCACTCAATGGAAACTAGCATAGCTTATTCAAGTTTATAATATATCATCTAGAGAAAACAGCATTGAAACGCCTAGCTCAGAATTGAGTATTTGGTCACAACTTGGAGAATATACATTCAGAAACTGCAACTTCATATTCATTCGAAATCAATTCGATTTGTCAATAAGAGTCGTCAGAAGTATTAGTTCTATAGTTCCATATTATCGTAAGATCAATAAATTACTCAACTAGACCTGGTTCTCACATGTGAATCGTTTACATTTTTCATCTGAAATAAATGTGAAGAATTTCGCCTATGGTTTGAAAATAATCTAATGAAAGTTGTAGTTAATTTAGTTGGTGCAAATGAAACATGAAATAGAGCTTTACTTAATCAGATTCCATGGAAATATCCAGAAACCCATGAATCAACTTAGACAATGAAAGCTAAATGAAGATATCAGAACAATTCAAGATCAATCAAAGAAATTTTGATCAGAATGTTCTCCTAATTAATCATTTATTAGCTATATGATAGAACATATTATATTCATTTTACTTGGTTCTTTGGGATTTTCTCTCCTCGTTTCTATAAAATAAAAGTATTCGTATTATTTCAATATATTTTATAGAAACGAGGAGAGAAAATCCCAAAGAACCAAGTAAAATGAATGTACCACCTCCTCGATTAACCTACAGACAGTATTTAACATATTATATGTAACAAAAATTCAACCAGTATTGTACCATTACTCCTGATGGAAGGGTAGTTGTGGAAATTAATGATGTCAGAGATCATACTCCCTTGATTGAATCATCTATATCTTGCTTCATATAGTACAAACAATGAAAGTATGACAACACTCTGAAATAATGTGCTCAAATCAATTGTTACTCATTTATCCAAAATCAACAAAACTTACAGTCTCATAAATAGTCAACAAAATCTATAACTAGTGTTTTATCCAATATAATCATTCTGGATATTCTTCTACTGATACTGGTATACAGGTTGCTGCCGTTGTTCTTGTTGGTTGCTCCTCTGAACTGGAACTTCCTGTTAACACACAGAATTCATTAGAAATAACAAGATATGGTGTGCGTAGTCGGCCATTATTACGTATTGAAAATTTCAGAAAAATCACTCGACCATCCTACTATGATTTCTCTACGTCACAACGAGCGAGACGTTGATTCTACATTTTCCCGCTAGATGGTGATGCTGCTTTTGCTGCTGTGACGAGTGGAAATAAAATGCCAAATGCCATCTCAGGTACGCGGAACATAATATGTAACAGTGGGATTAAACAGACATGACAGAAGTCATAATTGTGCAATGTCGCCGTCTATTAGAAGATCGACGGAACCATTGCTCTCACTGTTCTCGAGAGGTCGAGTAAAATTTCTGAAACAAAAGCGTATCAGTAATTACATCATTTCTTACTTCCATCAATAATAAGAGTAATGTCAATTGCAGAATCCATGGACATACCTAAATTCAAGAAACTATTTCATATAGGTAGGTGGAAAGGGATTGATCACTGTGTAGAGATATGAGATGATTTCTCAACTGGAAACATCGGAGTAAATTATACCTCCAGTGTGAAAAAGCATTGTTTCGTATTGTAAAAGTGTATGGGTAGGATGTGACGAATAGATAATTCGTGAAATATTGCGCATAACTCCTGTGGCAAAGAAGAGTAGTAGTAGCTAGGAAAACTTCCTGCGAAGTTATTGGTTTTTGGAAATACTTGAGTGGAGAAGGAATTCCGAAGATTTTCATTCTTTAATGACCACAGGAATTTTAGAAGAGACTTGTTTGACAGAACGTTACAAAGAAGTATGCAATATAACAACAGCAGAATACTAATTCCAATTATGTATTGGCAATCTGGTATTGAATTTGTGTCGCTTCAGTAGTAGGCTAAATCCATTCATATACTAACAATAAGTAAACACATGCATAAAATATGTTTTTGTTTCTAAGAAAATGTATACAGAACTCGAAATAATCTACTTCACCTGGATATACTGCTGCCTTGATGGAGTTTGGAATTGCGGTTCATGTTTTGGAATCTTCACCACGATATCTGTTGGTTGTCTTGTTACCTGAAAATGAGAAAATATTCACTATTGCATTCGTTAAGCTGATACAGTACAATATTGCTTCAGTGCTACTCATATGTTTTCTGAATCTCATTGATATAATTCATAACCTTCTCGATGTGAGCCAATATAGATACCATCGTAAAGAATATCTACTATTTCTCTAAAGACCTACTTTGCACCGCAGAGAGAGGTATAGGTATCGACATGTTATGAATGGCATATAAAAAATTATTGCTGTTTTGGGAGCTCTAACCTTGTGAAAGGGCGGAAGCCTTTTGGTCTCTGAATATATTCTCCATAATATCCACATGAATATTCGGTTTAGAAGTTAACGAAATTTGTAGCGACGTTTTATATACGATGCGAAGTTTTATTGAGGGAAATGTGAAAGGTTCTGAAGTGGAATGTTTTATGGTTCCTTTTCAGCATATAATAGAACTTCCAATATACGAATTCACGATCTGGAAATGCCGTGATTGAGGTATAGAAAGATCTCAATAAAAATGGGCAGGAGATTCCGTTCTGATGAATGACTCCAGTCATATTAGAAGAGATAGATTATTTGAATTTGTACAAGATGGTTAGTTCCAAAAATTCATGTAAATAATTATGAATATATAGGCATAGCATTATTCACAACGAACAAGTACAGGAAAAACACAACCATGAAACTTTCCACCCGACAATGATTTTTTCTAGAGTGTATTCTAAATAATATTCAATAATTCACAAACAACTCTAAGTATTAGAATTAACAGTTATTCAATATGGAGAATTAATGTTGATGAAATACGGGTTTGACAAATTACTGAATCTATGTAATACGGATCTGATGAATTACCGTTTCTATAGAATACGGGGCTGACAAATTATACTGATTCTATGAAACAGGGATATGAGGAGTTGATGTTTTGATGAAATACGGGTTTGAGGAATTACTGTTTCTATGAAATACGAATCTGATGAATTGCCGATTCAACAAAATACGGTTATGATGGATTATTGATTTGATGGAATACTGTTCTGGCGAATGACGGTTTCTACAAATTACGGTTTTGCTGAATTACAAATTCGATAAGTGTTCACTCTGATAGATTGATGTTTTGATGAAATACGGATCTGAAGAATTGCCGTTTCGATTTTCGGTTCTCTACGATATTGTCTCGATATGATACGATTTTGATAATTTACTGTTTCTATGGAATACAGTTATGATGGATTACCAATTCTAAAAAATAAGGTATGATGTTTTACTTCTCTATGGAGTACATTTCTTCGTTTAACTGTATGATGAGATACATTATGATCCTTCATATTTTGATGAATTATTGGTTCTATGAAGTACAGTTTCTACAGAATGCCATTATGATAGAATCCGATTTGATTAAATACGGTTTTGATACAATACGATCTGACGAAATATATGTACCCGTCGAGTCGATAAGTGTCAGATAGTTGAATAACTAAATAGCAGTAGAATTAGAATTGAAAACGTTTCATTTCAATGAGGCTACGATCTAAGAATGATCAAGAGATCAAGGAAACCAATTCTAGTTCATCGTCGCTCAAGGCAATATGAATATGTTAGTATCAGTTGTAAATTCTCAAGTTGATTGATAGATGATGCAACCATGCATGTGTAGTCAAATCCCCTAAGACAGGTGATCCGTATTTGATTGCAGCCTTCTTCCTGTTTCAATCATTTATTTTTCATGATCTATTCGCTATAAATGAAGCTTTGATGTTTCGAAATACTGGGTGACATTTCAAAAACTTTCCACCATCAATATCTTCTTTTCAGTGAATAATATGAGAAATCGGAAGAACAAGTCAATTTTATTTTCAAGAAAAACACTCAAAATTATCAGTTTTAGTCTTCTTGCCTCAACCTCCTAGGAGGGGTTGATGTTACCTTCAGAATCTCAAATGAGAAGGGGAGTAGTTTATTATTTTTTGTTGGGTAGTTTCCGAAAAATGCTGCGTCACTTAGAAAACTTTCCCCCTCAATATCTCCCTCTCAGTAAATGGTATGAAAAATCGATAATACACGTCAATTCAATTCCCAAGGAAAACACTCGAAATGCATATTTTCAGCCCTCTCAGTTCAACCCCCTAGGAGGAGTAGATGTTACCCTTAACATCATATGGAAATGGGGGTCAAGATGCACATTATTTTGAGAGGCGTTCAAGTATCTTTTCAACAATACCCTAGTTTTTTGATGGGTAAATTCCGAAAAATGCCATTCCGAACTTACAGAAGTAAGTAAGAAGCTCTGAGATGCATAGTTTTCAGATGAGTATAATAATTATTGTATTGACTCTCCTTTCAGTCCAAATGGTAGGATGATTTTGAATGCATCTCAGTATCTCATCAACAGGTATTTTTGAATTACTTCTGTGAGTTCATAACGGCATTTTTCGGAAACTGTTTATCTAGAACTAGAGTACTGTTGGAAAGTGAATTGAACGCCCTTTGAAATTGTATGTGTATCTTGACCTCCTCTCGATATAAGACTCTAAAGGTACCATTTACACCTATAGGGGGCTGAACCAAAAGGTCTAGAAATATGCATTTACACGAAATTTTTCGGAAACTACTCAACAGAAAATAATAAACTGAAGTACCGTTGGAAATATTATTGAACCAAGTGGGCTAAAAATATTTATTTTGAGTAAATTTCTTGAAAATAAAGTTGACCTGTCTTAGTAGAAGTATACCTATAGCACGAGGAGTACACGTGATTTTCGAATTGTTTCCATTTGAGGGATTAAAGTGCCCCTTTCAATTTCTCAGGGATTGAAAGTGAATACTCTCAAGTTACATATTTTCTCGTTGTCAACAACAAAATGATGACCACTCGTCATTCAGCAGCAAAGTTGACGTTCTGATGCTAGATTACCGCCACGAACAGTGTAGTGTATTATCGTGCCAAAGGTTCCAGTCTTCGATATATAAATATGTCTTGCATGAACTCTGGATCTTTTTCAATCAAGCACATCCATGAATGGTTTTGAAGAGATATTGAATTGGCCTAAACAATCATTTTGTTTGACTCAAAATAATAAGATATTGCTCCAATCAAATATTTAGTTGATTCAACGAAATATTTGGTTGATTCAAAGAAATATTTGGTTGATTCAATGAAATATTTGTTTGATTCAATCAAATATTTGGTCAATTCAATGAAATATTCTGTTGATTCAAGAGAATCTATATATCCATTCGACAAATTGTTTTGTTAAACCAAATTCAATATTCAGAAATTTCCTGAAATTTCACATCGATAGAATAAACAAAACTAGGAAACAAGTCGACTCCTAGCATAGATCATCAGTCTTTACTTCTCTTCAGCTGATGGAAAACTATTTGGGATTGCTAATCATCCAAAGTTCGATTTATCTAGTTGATATTTCAAACACGAAAAATCAGGCTTCACTTATATAATGAATTCGAGGCAGGCATAGACGAGACGAAATGATCGCCATCTAGAGGCGAAAATGTGAGTTGATATAGAATGAACAAAATATTTCATTGATATTACATATTTCGGTCCACTGCTACATCGGAATAAGAAAACATGTATGTTGTTCCAAAGATATATTCCCATCAAAATGATCATTATTCGATCAAATCAACAAAATGTTTATAATTGAATCAACATCGACATTATTTTGGATCAACATAATTTGTTTTCGATGAAACCATATTATATTTTGTTGATGGAATTGATATTATACTGTTGATTGAATCAGACTACATTCTTGATTTGAACAAGTTGCTTTCATGAAATAATCATGTATCTGGTTGATTCAACAAAAAATTGCTAAGTCCAACAAAAATAATTCAAACATAAATAATTTGTTGATGCAACAAATCCTTCTTTTCCGTGTATCGTTCACAATAAAATTATATGTTATATTCGTTTGTCATGTCAGGGGGCGTACCTTGAGAATCTTCGAAATAACAAACTAGGTGCAATTTGAACAATATCGATATTATGTTATCACACATTTTGATGGAATTTGTGTACTACTTCGGAAATGAAATCATTTTAAATATCTGAATACATTTCATCATACTGCTCTATACCTAGATATTACCTGAAAAGGCCATGAAAAATTACTCCACCATATATACTTCCTGGTTTTCTGTAATAGCCTCTATGAAGCTATGTGAAATATTCTCTCCACTTCGATAGTCTTTTTATAGGTATCGATCACTTTTTGTTTTTGGCATCATGGTCATGGATTCAAGCAATTGGGATTCACCTCACGACATCAGCGTACCATGTATTCGAAAAGTCGGCCGACTTCAATTTATGACGAGATGCGAAAAAATGCGCTTATTGGATCTTCTAGGAATTCTACATGATGAAAAATATTTCGGTCTTCCGAATAGTAATTCGTAGACCACTTTGGAGTTCACCAGTCACATTCGATATTCGTAGAGGTCTTTGTTTCGGGTATTATTCAGTTATCAACAGATACTTGCATATCAAAAAATTATTATGCTATCAAGGTGTGTGCACTGGTATAACCAATTCAATCCTCACCATTGAGATCTCGGAAACTATACAGGGTGCCCCAGAATCAGATTGAAAGATTTCTAGAATTTAGAACTGTTGATAAATAAAATATGGGTATGGGTCCAGAAAGGCTTCCTTCGTGGGTAATAGCCATATATTTCCCCTCTGTGATAAAATGACCTTATTTCGTGCATGTACCAATATATTCAAACCCATTTCGAAAATGTTGATGAATTTATTGAAACTATCAAAATTTTTCAAAAACGGTCCTGGATTTTCCCGATTCTGAATGAGCCAGTCGAATAGGGTTCAGTAAAGGAATATTTCATGGAGAAATCAGACGAATGAGCTGTTGAGAAGTTTTGACCAAAAGATGTTTTTGCCAAATCTCATAATTCACTGGGTGAGTCGATAGTGTGTTCTCCTTCTATATTAGCCAAACCGTCAGATATATAGAAAAAATTCGAATACAAAAGTTATAGGGTTTCTTGGGAACTATCACCTGAAATTATTTTCATATCCATATCATGTTCGAATTGCAAGATATCGGTTGATGATTGGTGTTTTTGAATGGGACACCCTGCATATTATTGCATTTCCAAATTTTTTCTGAAGAGCGGATTTCATCAATGTATCGCACTTGGAGACTTTCTTAATTTTTACAATAAATATTGCAATTTGATGGATGATTCTGAACATACATACTTAATACTGCAACAAACAAACTTGAACTTTTATTTTCGATCACCAACCACTCATATTACTAGCGATTTTATAATATCTTTGTTTTCCCGAACTGTTGCGGGAAAATGACACTTCCCAAACTAAATTGCGTGCGGGTATAGGGTGAATCACGCACCTTTGTAGAAAAAAAAATTATCTAAGCTTCATCGAATAAGGCATTGAAGAATGTCGCTGGCTCCCAGGCTGAAACAGGAGTTTTTCTAGCACCACAACTCACCTCAGCTTTGAATCCTTCTTTGGGATCTGCCGTGTATGAAACAGTGCGAATGTATCCGTCAGAATCCACCACGGAATAGCTTCCTGTAATTTTGTCGCCTTCCCTCTGCTCTTTTCTATTCTGATAGTTCGTGTACAAATCATCCTTCACGTCGAAGCCGAACTGATACGACGGGTTGGGCTGAAACAGGATGAAAAAGGTCTTTGGACTGGAAAGGAGCGACAAAAGACGGTAATTTGTAAACGTACAGTGCTTGTCAACACATATATGGCTTTTGATAGTCTGACAAAAAGAAAGTGCAGGAATACGTGAAGTCAGTCCATATGCACATACAGTGTGTACCGAACAAAATGGAATAAAATAGTTTTGAGCAAAGACTAACGTCAAAAAACGTTCGAAATTGTAAAACTCTGCAGATGCCGACACTGGCACTGCCTTTGTGTATAGGGCAATATGAACAAACATTGTTCTTTGCGGTTTGGACAACTATACTTCTTGAACCAACTAGATTGAATAAATAATCAAATTAGCTCTTAGGCTTCTTCAACCAACTGATGAGACCTGGAAGGTCGAAAGCTCACACATTGCACCCTAAAATATCGTTGGGTAAAGCTGAAACCCGAAATTTGTGGCGCCTTTGACCCTTTAGTTCAAAGGCAAAAGTCTGAGAATCCAAAAAAGCAGAAGTATTCTTTGGTTCGAAAACCTGTTATGAGTTTGTGGCTTGTTTCGACTGGAACAACTCGCCAGGCTAAAGAGTTTATTAAAAAACCATCGCCAACATTCATAGGATATCTACTAGCCCAGAAACAAAATTAACTAGAATACTAGTGGGACTTCCCACAGGGCATTGTAGGCTCAACAAACACATGAGTACGATAGGTCTGACTGAAGAACTGCTGTGCAGGTTCTGTCAAGAAGAGGAAGAAACAGCAGTATACATACTTTGCCACTGTGAGGGCTTGTCAAGACTAAGGTTCCTTACGCTGGGTGAGGAAAAACCAGGAGCCCAGAGATACACAGGAGATCTGAAAGCTAGCCTATGGAGTCTCATAAAGAAGGCGGGGCTAGCCGAAGAACTCTAATCGATTTTGAGGGCAGACACAACAGATCTGAAAAGGTCGCAGTGTGGAGGCAGATAGCCCGAAGGCCCCATTCCAAATCTAATCTTCGACTTCGGTTCGTCTTCTCCAGCCAGTGGAAGTACCCTGAGACACGTTGGAATCTTTCTGTTTTGGAAGTGAATCCACAGAATAGTTTTGAGCAAAGACAATAGTCAGAAGTACATAGTACAAAAGACAAAAGTCACTGGGATTCAGGTTTCACCTTAACCCAACGATATTTTAGGGTGCCATGGGTGAGCTTTCGACCTTCCGGGTCTCATCAGTTAGGCGAAGAAAACTAATAGCTAATTTGATTGATATCAAAGTGGAATAATTGGCTGATGCACACTGTTGAAATAAAATTTGTTCTTTTATTCAGTTTCAATATAAGTATTCAATCTTTTTCAATCATATTACACAGAATTTGGCTCTGGAATCTGACGAAGTCTTGTTTTACCTCAAATTTCGATTAACCTTCATCAAACACTGTGAAATACGAATGATACACCTTTCTATCCGTGTTTACAACTAGCCATTCAATCTTCTCAATTATTCATCAGTCAAAGTGTTATCTACCGCCTGTGCTGTTAGGTAAATTGTGTCCGTACACAAACTCAGTAAGCTGATAGAGCTTCATAATGGTCGAATTAGATCATTTCAATAAATTTTTCACTACTACGCACTACACATACTTACTAGTAATGTGGAGTATTCAATAATTTCTCGGTGATTATTGAGAGGTCTCATGTTCTACGAAATGTGAATTTTGTGAAAGTCACTTTATAATCTTACTATGTACCATTAATTCAATTCGTTATAAGCCATAGAAACGTATTCCAGTTTCTAACGAACCAGTAAATTTGCTGTATCAAAACTAATTAAATGAAAGGGGTTTCGTGATATCTCACGATTATTATCATAATTTATATGACATATTATGTAACGTACAACCATCAGAGCGTGAAACCAGAAATTAATCTCTATCCTAACTTCATAGCGAGTGAATTTACATCATGCAAATATCAGTCATCAGTAGATTGCTTTGACAAAATAGAGCTGATTAAATTCTTGATATAGAGCAACACGTAGTAGAACTTCACAAGTCACATCAAGTATCAAATAATATACCAAAGAATATAATTATGTAATAGGAACATTTTGCAAAACTCTATGTATATGAGTCGAGAATAAGGAAGTGTAGATATCATCAAAGAACGTACAGGTATTGCACCCTGACATTACTCGTATCTAGACTTCGTCACATCTCAGCAACCACTTCCAAAGGGTTTATGACATCAAGTCATCTCTCTGTGTACTCGAAAACGTAAGTAAGAGTGAGTAAGATATATAACGACAGGTCCTGAAGGAGCAATCTCCATTGAATCAAGATTGATCTCGTTAATAAATGAGCTTCGCTGTTATGGCAATTCCAGTCTTATTTCACTTGTTCGAAACCTGAGTAATTCATTGATTCTTGACTTTCAAAAGTTTTTCCTGATAATAAACTTCGCTAGATATCGAAACGACCACCCTTTGCTTATGATGTGAAATTCAGATGAATCATCTGACTCTGGAACTGATAGATAATGTTAACCTGATCAAATTCATTCAGTAGCATGAAGTTCTATGCTATTAATATAAATGGCTTCAAGGCTATATAACAAAATTCAATTGATATCAGTTTGGAACAAGTGATCTTTTTCTATATCTTGATCTCTTAAAGCGCAAGATAAGATATCTCCAATGTGTTCCAGAAAACTCGGGCAGTCCTTGAAAGGACTGGGATTGGGCAATTTCTTTAACTCTTGGTTCATGGAAATACTTACAAATTGAAAAATCGCACGCCCAATAAAAAAATGAGTTTTGATGTGAAGTTTCGATGTATATATGAATTTTGATTGGTATTGCTATTGATGGAAATTCTTTGCTACAAAGCAGTAATATTCAAAGAATTGAAATCTCATCAGGAAAGGTGTGATAGATGTTACTAATCTACCGGCACTATATTGATTTTGATGAACCTTCATTTACCTGATTTATAATTATAGAGGAAACCTATCAACCTCAGCTATTCCTACGATCATGTTCAGATACAAGGTTATCGTAGATGAGATAGGTTGTCTCGATACTGACGCGCGGTGTGCAACGTAGAGGAGATAGACATGTCATGGAAAGTGCCAGACATATTGTTTACATTAGATCTCATACTGTTATTACTCCAGTACGTCTCATTTTCAGTGAAAGAACAGAAATATCATTGATTTATTTCCTTATCTTGTTAATCTGTATTCATAATAATCTTCTGGATAGTGAATCCAGGATGTGAAAGAGACTTGTGCTTTTAGGGTTTTCATCATTGAAACCATAGATTAATGGTGTAGGTATGCACCTACCTATTTGTGCCTTTGTGCCATCAGGAGGTGTTGTATGAACAAGATATAGAATCGTGATGACATAAGCGGATATCAATAATTCGAGGTAAATATACAGTTTATATCAAATGGTATCACGTAGTGTCCAATGGAATTCTTGTTAAAAAACAGAGAAAACGTACCCTCACTTAGAAAAAATCCACATATAGGTAAATTGTGATTTGTAAATTGGATTAAACAAACTTGAATAAAACTGTCTGGTATCCATTTTTCTCGATATAATTCCGTTTTGATATGCTATTTCAATTGATTGATCAAAGTCATGTATAAAGGTGATCGAACGATACCAATAAACAATCTTCAATAGGATCAAAATGACCTTTGGGATAAGAGCCCTTATTCCACTCAAAGATCTTATACACTGTGGGAATTCTGACGTCATCTCAGTACTATTTTCAGTGAGGAATAAACACTTAATTACAAGGACTTCAATTATTTATTCAATTGTCCTTTAGTGGCATTCTGTATTTTTTTTATGCTCAAATTTCTTGTTCATTTGAGGAGTTATTAGAAAAAATTCTGTATTCTTGGAGATATTATAGTTAGACTGTATCATATTCATGTGCTCAATAGGTTAATTAAGGTGTTTCAAAAATGCCCCGTATGAATTATCATAAATTATACACAGCTACCTATAGTATTGAAATTGTAAGCCATTTCTCTCTATATATAACCTTTTATGTTCGTTCATGAAGGGAAAAATTGATATTTCACAAACAGGGCCTGATTAACCATTAGGCTGATTAGGCTGCAGCCTAGGGCGCGAAGATCGGGGGGGCGCGCAAGACGCGCTAAAATCGTGTCTTCGCATGCACTAATCTAGCATCATTGCATCTACCTTACATATTTCAACTAGACCGAGACAAAACAATAAAACTAAATGCGCTTGATAGTCCCTGATTTTAACAATGAATTTTGAAATTTTATAAAGCGCGCGTAAGAAGAAGAAAGAAACAAAAATTTCATTTTGATGAAGTTAAAACGGGGCACATTGATTTAGAAAAGAGACGATCTTTCATCGTTGATAATTATTATGCAGCTATTGATTGTCTTAAAGTGCATTTAAAAAACCGGCAAATTATTCATAATACAGTAAACACAAAGTTTGGTTTCTTATGGAAACTGCATGAACTGGACGACAGTGAACTTATTAGAAGCAGAGCAAAGGAGTTGAAACAACTATATGCTACTGATTTAGAAGAAACCTTTGCAGAAGAATGCGTCCATTTGGCGCAGTTTTCAAAATCTGACACCGAGGTCGAGCGTTCTCTTTCTGCCAGAACCCCAAAGGGTTTGTTGCAGTTTATAAAAAGTTTTAATATTTTAAGCATGTTCCCGAATGTGGAGATGATATTGAGAATTTCTTTGACAATGAGTGTTACCAACTGCAGCGGCGAAAGGTCTTTTTCAGCACTGAAGAGAGTAAAAAATTACTTACGCTCCACACTCCGCCAGCAAAAGCTTGCAGCGCTCTCTCTAATGTGCATAGAAAGTGATATTCTTCAAACTATCGAATTTGAAGAAATTGTATAGAGATTTGCAAACGCTAAAGCAAGAAAAAAGACCGTATTATAAGCAAATAATAATCACTCAATCATTATAATTTTCAAATAAAACATTAATCAGTTGCAAAAATATTTCACTTGTATGATGCCTCTCGTCTTTAAGATTACAGAAATGTAAATATATAAATAATACTTCAAGTCGAAAACTTTTATAGGTAGTATAAACCATGTCAAAATTTTAATACTTGTAAACGAAGTCAAGACTAATATACTACTTTTTAGGCCGACCGTAATACTCATCATGGCGGGGGCGCGTCCTCATAATTAGCCTAGGGCGGTTAGAACTCTTAATAAGGACCTGTTCAAAAATCATCAATATCCCTCTCTATATATACGAGATATTGAATCAAGATTGGAGCTCTCAAAAATGTTCTAGTAATTGACTTATGTCTTTGAAATACTATTTATATTATCAATTTTTTCTGATTTTCTAATATATGGAAGGTTGAATTCGACAAAATAATAATTGAGACCTCTGTAGATAATCGCATAGTTAAAAGTGATCAGGGTTGGCCTTCTATTCGAAATATGAATTTGTGGATCATTCGACAAATGTTGATATGATTCAATATTCATGCTATTCATGATTAGTTTTCATGACTTGTACAAATGAACTAGGTTATGTCCTCAACTGCTGATGTATGTATGTATATATATGTATACATTATTCATTCATCTTATTTATTATTATTTGTTGTTACTCATTGTTAGGTTAAGCTAGTATATAATTTTTTGACGAATCAAATCTATTGTATAATAGATCATGGAATAATGGAAATGATGATGATGATGATAATGACAACACACAACAAACAAGGTCTTCAAGTTCTTGAGAGAGAAATGAGCGCTCTGTATGATGCTATACCGCGCTATATTGCGCTGTTTGGTTGGAAGTTACGAGGGAACCTATCTATTCTAATAACCTTGGGTCAGATCCACCTCTACTCACGTCGTAGTCTTCTTTTTCCTTGACCTCACCCCCACTCTCCAACTGCTGTGCAGGTTGCTGAACCCTGTACTGCTTTACAGGTCTCGGCACGTACCTGATTTGTTGTGGTTGCTCCCTCAAATATTGGGGATTAGCCTGTGGCTGACGGTACTGTAGTTGAACAGCAACAGGTTGGTAGGACTGCTGAGGTTGGTACGCAGGCTGGGATTGATAGGCTTGCTGTGGCTGAGATGCCTGAGTGGGGGCTTTTCTAGCAGCTGACGAGAAGGCTTCTTGAGCTTGCGATGCTAGATGAGATGGAGTGATTTGATTGAGGTAGGCTTGAGCTACGGATTGAGGTTTCTGAATCTGCAATGCATATCTAATATCAATACGTGGTGAATGCGAGAATCTATTATTGATATGTTACTATAATGCCTACAAGAGCTCAAAAAAACCTACAGGTTTCTAGAGAATCAAAAAAATGTTCATCTGTTGGAGTCGTTTGGCAAAATGAAATTTGTATTCAAAATTCTCTCAAGAGTTACTGAAGTCGATTCAATCAATGGCGCATCAATGACACACACTAGGGACGTTCGATACTTCAATTTCTTGATTTCTTCGCATTTTCAAAGGGTGATTCTCTGCTCTAATGAAAAATGCATAATTCTCCTACTCCTATTCATCAACAACAGACAGCAGATAGTTTCGTAATGTCGTGAATACTCTGATTGAGATGTTCATCTCTGATCATCACGTCGCTAAAGTCAGACACGAATATGAAAGAAAAAGTCCAACTGTAGATTCCTATAGATACCACAAATTCTCTGGCACGAATACGATATGACACTTATTCCTTGATATTCAAGTACATTCTGAAAATTTTTTGGTTTCAAGTGCTGTTCGAATCCTCGCTGGTCTGTGGATAGGGACTTGAGATACGATAGCCATAAGACAATAATTGTTGTTTGATGACAATTTCAGATGGTACTTTCATGAGTAGAGATATATACAGTGTCATTCTTAAAGTTGGCATCATATTATGGAAAAAACTGTGAATGATAATTCATTGTGGAATTCAACTTGGGCGTTGAATTTTGCTCCAGAAAAGATGAAAAATAGCCTACTTCGTCAGTCACGGGACTTTCGAATTTTAACGTTCTATTGCAACTTTTAGGTATTGATATTTTTTTCAATCTCTTCTAAAATTGTTACTTTTAACTTTGACGAAACTGTCCTAAGCTTTGGTGAGATACGTGAAGTAGCTTGATGATATTATGATTGGTGACCTAGGCATCATTTCAGTACTGGAAAAATCCGTTTGAATAAATTTCGCCCCGGAATGCTAGACGATAGATCAACTTTGCATCAAACATAACAGGAGCTTAATGCATGAATCAGTATTTTCTGAAGAAAATCATATTTCTGTCGATGTTAGTAACATGATGGAGCTACTAGGATAAAATAGACATTTCGGAGGAAAGGAAAAAAATATCAAAAACCGAAAGTTGTTATGGAACGTTTGAATTCGACACATTCATGTGAAATCTGAATAGAAACACTTTTTCTTCGAAAACTTTTTTGAAATTCAAGCAAATCATTCTATTTTCAGCGATTAATTTGAAAGAATGTAATTTTTGACAAATATCGAAAGTCACGTGACAAGCAAAACTTAACGAACAGAACGTAACTCAAAATAAATTACAATTTAACGTTATTCCCATATGGTGCCGACTTTATGAATGAAACTGTATGAATATACCAAAATTTGCAATCACTGTCATGCCCTCCCCCTCGAAATCATTTGAAAAAATCGAAAAAACTCTGTTGGTTCCAGAAGCTCATATTGAATGTGAGAAATACTGTGAATGAAAAATGATTTGAATCTCTTTCTGAATAAACAGGGTGAGTAATAACTGTTGGGCGATACTACCAAATATATCTCCATAAAATATTGCTGTCGAAAAACATTCACCCTGTAATCAAAGAAGTGTTGACTATAAAATCGCACTGGAATTCATTCACTGACAAGAAATTATCTGATAGTCCAAAACGCACTCTTCATAAATTGAAGAGTTTTGAAAGCTCCGTCCGAGCCTTTGAACTGTCCAATTACATTTTTCTCGAAACAAGTGTACCAATATTATGTATAAATGATGTTTATATCATATTTTTTATCCAAATCACTAAAAAGTTTCGTCAAAAAAAGTTATCAGTCGATTTTCATCATCAGGAATCATTTACGTGACGCCCCTTGTAACAAACTGCGTGGAATATCACATCAAATAATATTTTCTGTGTCGATTTTGATAACAATTCAAAGGTATCAAGTGAAATTTTCAGCAAAAACAGAAGACTATTCAACTTAGAGGTATCAAGTGAAATTTTTAGCAAAAAACAGAAGACTTCCCAACTTCAACACCCTGTATCTTTTTCCACAGCAATATTCCAATAGGGCCTATTTGGTCCTATCACCAAATTTTGGTGCAAATAAACCTAACTCAGCCTACGTCCAAATAGTTATAACTCACTCTGTATATTTTCTGTTCTATTGAAAACTCATTCACTTTTTGCTGGTTCTTGTATATTTCCTCAAAAAGTGGAAAGAAGGTATTCTTTGAAGCATCGTTTCATATTTCTTTCTCCCTTTGTCCAAGAGGAATGAGTTAGATGGAGTCGGTACCCCGAATCAATTCGAAATTATCAAGTAATATTATCGTCTGCATATAAACAATTATCACAAACTGCTGCACAAGTCCTTACCTTTTACAATCATTGAAAGTTCTATTATTTGCGTTTCTGTTCCGTGCTTGGTATTTACCCTGTCAGGATACTCATTTTCATTTATTTGCACTTGTCAGTCTTCTTTTCAATTAGACGAAGGAAACTCGTAACTACCCACCGTAAACTTTGCCGAGCTACTTCGCTTTGAATGAACAGTTCTGGATCCAATAAAAAAACGTTTTCCACTGGCCTGTTCTACAGACATACTCATTTCACGACACATTCTCTACTTCTAATATGGATATTGAATAGTTTATTCGAAGATAGATCATTGGATGTTGCATTCCTGGAATGAATATTATGTAAGTTCTACGTCTTCACAGAAACTTAACACATATTTCTCAGACCAAAAAAAATCGATAGGAGCAAAGGATCCCGCACAAATCAAATGCAATTCCGATTTCTGTCAATTCACCTATTACGGGACAGTATAATTCAAAGTGTGCTGAACAAAAGTCAAACGATTTCTATGAGTAGTTGTCGTGCTACGTTCTCATGAATCCTCTGATGCTAGGTCTGGAAAAATATGACAAAATGATCTACAAAGGGGGTTCACACGCACTTGTGAGATATCGAAATCAAATGCAGGTTAGGTTAGGTGTGTGTAGTTGTGTGGGTGTATTGTGGGTGTGTGTGTGTATACAGGGTCTTACAAAGAGGCCAAAGTACCTGCCACGTCCACGTTCGTTGGCCTTGAGTAGCGCAAAGAACAGGTGATATGATTAATGATATGACAGTTGATAGATGTTGATGTATGTGAAATATAGTTATGAAATAAAGCTTAACTAATCAGCAAACTTCCTGAATTCCTGAATTCGATTTCGATATCTCACAAGTGCGTGTGTACCTCCATTGTAGATCCTTTGGTCCAGTTTTTTCTATACGTAGCATCAGAGGATTCACGAGAGCGGAGCACGAAAACTACTCATAAAAATCGTTTGACCCCATGGAGACTTTTGTTCAGCACACTTTGAACTACATTCCCCCATAATTTCAGGTGAATTGACAGAAATCAAAATGGCATTCGATTTGTGCGAGGTCCTTTATACCTTTGTACAACGCTGATTAGTTTGGGCTCTAGACGGCTCTGGAGTTTAAATTTTCTCATTGTTTTTGCTTCATTACTTCAAGACGGATGATTAAATTCAACTCATTATTATTACTATTTATCAAGAGCACCTTTTTTGTTGGAAAAAAATACACAATCCAAATTTTATCACCTGTGATAGGTAATGTAATCTATGAAGAAACAAGAGTTCGACTCACACCATGCAATGAACATGTTGATGACTGTACCTGACTGTGGCCTTGGGAAGCGAAATTTTGAAGTCCTCCGCTTGGTTCATACACAGGCTGTGCAACAGGTTTAACATACTGAGGCTGCTTCGAATACACGGGAGCCTGAGGTTGCTCTCTATACACAGCTGCCTGAGGTTGTTCCCTATACACAGCAGCCTGAGGTTGTTCTCTATACACAGCAGCCTGAGGTTGTTCCCTGTATCCAGCAGCTTGGGGCTGTTTGTAGGTTAGCTGGGGCAACGCTTGAGCGCTGAGATACTGGGGGTTCTGGTAGCCAGGTCCTGGTTGGGAAATGGGGTAGGGAAAACAAACGACACTTGACACAACACTCATCAGAAACAAGCACTTATTCAGCCCCGTCATCTCGTCACGATAACGATGAAGTTTTGATGTAATTTACGTTCCCTCGATTAGAAATTTCGATCTGGTTCTATATATACTTTCCACTTCTACGGGGTATTGATAGAGAAAGGTGCATTATTATAGGGTCAGTGCATTGTCGATGTAGGTGGTGATAAGTTGTGCTGATCCAACGAATAATCACTGAAATTAGAATTTGAAAAAAACTACCTACCAAATTTGAATAACTTTGAGACTCTCATCATAGAATAGAATAGAATAGAATAGAATATATTACATCCATGGTATACAAGTTATGGACACGTCATACAAAGAATCAAAGAAATTACAAGGGATAAAATCATTAAAAATCAAGAAGAATTAAAATTAAAATTAAAATAGCACCAGTTGTCTACAAGAGTCGTTGATCAACTCACTGAAGTGGTTGATTCTGTAGAGACTCATTCTGACAAGAATCTTTCTCAACGTTTTTTTAAAACGATCCAACGGCAGATCTCTGATATCTGTAGGAAGAGAATTGAAAAGAGATATTCCTATGGATTTGCTCTTTTCTAATCTCCTTTTATGAGGTACGATGTTATGACCATATCTGGTGCTATAATCATGAATGTCTGAATGCGTAGTGAATGTATGTATATTTTTTCTAACATGTATGAGATTTTCGTAGACAATTTGTGAATATAAGGTCATAATACCTAAAGCTTGAAAAAATGGTTGACAATGTTCAGTATAACTAACCTTTGCAATGCTTCGTACAGCCGCTTTTTGTAGTGTAAAAACTCTTTGTAAGTGTGTATACCTTGAACTACCCCAGCATAGCAAACCATAGCTCATCACTGAATGAAACATTGCATAGTATGCTGTTGAAGCAGCTCCTTGGCTCACAGTTGAAGTTATGCGCCTAATGGCATAAACTGAATTTGCTAATTTTCTGCAGATGTTGTCAACATGTGTGGCTCAAGTAAGGGATGGATCTAGATAAACTCCCAAGAATTAGTAGTGCCGATAATACATCATAGAGACAAGATAATGATTGGAATTATCTAAATTTTGCTAGACGCTGTCTTCCGGCCACCATCATCAACTTTAGTTTTTCTGCGCGCCATATTTGATTTCTCCTGATTTGAATTGAACCTGTTATATCTCTTCAATGCAGTGAGATGAAGTTCTTCTCCATAGTAGGCTTTGAATCCAATATTTCGACTAAATTTTCATACTGGATGAGGGACTTTCTGAACAGAAAAATGTCAGTTGTATGCATAAATATGCAACTTCGTCGGCTGTATACGTTATGTATGATGTATTGAATTGATCTGTATTACTTTAGAGATTTCTCATTTTTTCATGATGAAGGCGCATCTTGCATCAGATATCAGGAATAAGATATCTGATAGTATATACTTGTAGGATTATATTTTTTCGAGATTGTTGACAATTCAACAGCCCTCTGATTTAATCAAAAATGCTGCACTCTTATTGTGCTTATTTAATAGTATATTTCACCTTGATTGATTTGAATCATGATGAGCTTATTGTAGAGAATTGACGATCCAATGAGTACGTTCCATTTCTCAACAATCACTGCAAGAGTAGTGAACAAAAGTTGATTCAACGATATAGATGAAGTCATCAATTGAATCTCAATAGCCCCTCAATCTATACGATGTATCTCATTGAACTTTTCAAAATGGAATATGAAATATGTGGTTTGAATTGGTTTTCCATTCCTATTTTCCTATTTTCGGTACATGTTTCGTGATTCTACATTATGGGATGTGAATTATAAAATTGAATAGATAGAATCTTGTTGTTAGTATATTATTCAACCTCATCAATCCGAAATAACGGATCAAGTATTCTATACTGAAATTCTCTTACAAGAAGATATTATAGTCGTTGAAATATTTTTCGTGATAATATATAATGATAATAATAATAATAAATGATTTTATTGAGTGCTCATAAATGTACAACAGGTATTATTATACATATATGTTTCTCAAACGGTAGAGTTCAATTTCACGATTAGATCGCAAATTGCTCTTTCACTCAACCATAATGAGGAGATCATCCATTGATATGAATGAGCTCCTTCCTATTCTAAACATTTATGTACATTTTCCTAAATAGTTATGATATTATTCTATATATGAATAATATTCACAAAAACCTTTATACAAGTTCTATTTCATCAAATTGAAGTTGGGGTTTTCAGAGAAATACTTTTTCATTTGTTTCTTGAAGTTTGGGAGGCTACAGCTATTGAATTCGAATGGAATGTTATTGAGAATTTGGGAGATTTGAAAAGAAGAAGATCTGAACTGCACAGTTTTATGGATAGGTAGTGTTTTGGTTTTCGTGAGAATATTATTGTCTTAAGAAATAAAGAGGAATGTAGAAGCCTTCTATTCTTCATGCTGAGCCATCCGATATCCCTTAGATTATCCGACACATGATCACGTCTGCTCAAGCCACATATGAATCGGACGCATGAATTTTGCAATTTCTGAATACGAAAGCTATCAGTACTAGTTAGGGCAGGGCCATAAACAAAATCTGCATAGTTGAGATGAGACAGCACCAGAGCTTCACACAGGATAATTCTTAGTTTACTGCTCAGAATGGACCGATTAGCATAAAGGTTTTTCAGATATTGATCTATGCCATGAACTTCCAGTCCCATAAGCAATCTCTATACCTCCTTACCTCGAACTTGAGAAATTTTTTTCACCCGACTATTTATTATTATTGGAGCAAATTAGGTAATTACATACAGTTCCGGTATTTGGCTAACCTGGAATTCAGGAATAATCAATTTCATGTAGCCGAATAATAGATTTTCTTGAGTCCTCATGGTTTCCTGACCTTTCAATATCAAGCAACAGGCACAAAACTCCCGTAATCTTGGCAGATTTATCAAATCAGATGTAGATAAGTCAATAGAAAAAGTTTAACTCTGTTCTGATTGAAGGCATTATAATTATAATGGGTGAAATGAAGTAACAATTAATGAGCAAGGAATTAAAGTACTGCTTCTTCAGTATTGGCATTGAGTAAGCCAGCGGGTCAGTGTATGACAATGGTTAAAATATGATGGCCAATGTATATTATTTGATGGGTGATGCTTTCTGATATCATTTTTTCAAACATTGTTTCAGTCCATCAGACTAAAGAAACAATTGCGAACCAGGGCACCTCAGTATGAACATAGCAACCCTAATATATATATTTTTTCATCTCTTGGAGCGGAATTCCTATAAGGTTCGGAGAACATCATAATGCTTCAAGAGTATTTGAGTCGAGTGAAATAGGATCAACTAGATATCGACCATTCTTAACATGAGATGTTTTTCTAGTTCATAATGCAAGAGATATTGGAAACTGATTTAATGTCTGATGAGGTTCATGAGGAGCAATTATTTCGTTCAATAACAGTAATGAGTCAGTCAAGGATGAGTTGAATAAGTGATAATGAGCTGAAAGAGGTGTTGTGTGAAGTTAACTGTAGGAGAAAATCACAGAATACCATCAATAATTGATCAAATGATCTAGTCTACATCTAGTCGTTCTATTCGTTCCTTCATGAGAGCAGGTTTTCTAATTATTTTATAATGACTATGCAACAACACTAATAATGAATAATGTTTTCACGAATGTCAATCTCAATCTCTACATAATATCACGTAGGAATCATATTCTGGCTAAATTTATCTAGTGTTTATTATCAATTAAGCTATATATAAAGGGTGATTGTTTTTTTCTGTAACTTTTTTTTTTCGTCATTTTGATCCTCAGCTGAATTAGAGCCCGCCGCATGTTCGAAAAATACACATTCAATATGCTGACCAGCTCTATTTCATTTCTCAATCCTATAGCATTTGCTATCTGGATTCAGCTCATCTCATATCTTTGGAAATTCGGTTTTGCAAGATCTGATAAAATTCAATTTGAGTCGATTTGAAATGATCATTATGGGATTATGTTCACCATAAATCGTCAATAATATCTAGTATTTGGCGTGAAAGAAGTAGGATCGAATAAGCATTCCACATTTCATCAGATTAAATTTCATCGAATATTTTGAAAACATGATGAATCATCGGAAGTAATCCTTCGGGACAACATGCAGGTAATGGATGGTTGAATTGAGAAATGTATAAAGGTATGATCAATGGTGAACTTGGAAAAAAGTTTCTATCGATTTTGTTTCTACATCAATGTATATGTATAAGGTGTTACAAAGTCGGGATCTCGGTAACCTCAAGAGATACAGAGTGGGTTAATTTAGGACAAAGTTGCATCATTCTTGCTCAAAAAAATGCTGCTTTGAAATTGTGAAAATTTCAATCATTTCTGGAGATATTCGGAAAAAAGGAAAATATGCAGAATCGTTATTATTCAATATTCAGTTTATTTGAGGAGATATTTAAAAAAAAATGTCACTTCATCAATGCTTTTTTTCTGATGAAAATGCAACGTTTCTTCTTCGAGCGGCCATCATCAACTTTACTTTTTCAAGTAGGCACCTGAATTTTTCATCTCATTTTCCGATAGTCTTCGATCTCCTAGATATGTGTACCAAAACATTACCCAAAATGCGAGATTTCTGAATAATTATTTCACGGAACTTGATCACCCTTTATACTTCAGCTCTAGTTATTTTGTAATCTGTCATATAACCTGAAGAAACCAAATTGAAAAATGATTTTGACTATATGTAAATTTCGATTATTTCCAAACACCAAAACTCGAATGGATCAAAATCCACTTAATGAATCAGGTTCTATTGATTTTAAACCTGTTTCTGTTGTGTTGCATAACCCAATATCATAATGCTTCCTGCCTCATGTCTTTCACATTGCTTTGGTGACCGAGATTATAATACTGAAGGGGAGTTAAGTACATTAGAGAAAGTGCAAGTAAATATAGCCTAGGTGATCTGATTTATTTCATAGAATCGATTGAATAACCGGCTATTCATTTGAACAATACCTATATCACTT